CCCCAAAACCCCAAAACCCCAAAACCCCAAGCTTTCTGGCAATGATTGAATTATGTAAAATCTCTTGGATTTTCGTCTGGGTCAATAAGTTTGTAGGATGATTTATGAGTGAGCCCAAACTTGAATTTGAAATCCTTTCTTCTGATATGAAAGAATCTTTCTTCACCAGGTTTTAGGATGAAGTTCCAGCATCTATCTCCAGTCTTTGAACTAACAAATGTATCTTCAGGCTCTACATTTGGAAGAGATGAGAATCCTAAAAGAAGTTAAATAGATTTAAACAAATAATTACCTATGTATGCATCTAAATACTGAACTTCTTCTTTGTTTTCAAAGTGAAACACGTATCCAGCATCATGCTGAAGAATAGAGATGATGCAGTTAGATTGCTCATCTCCTCCTTTCTTAACAGCTTTCTTTTTCCCTTTCTCTTTGCATGATTTTTCTAAGAATTCATCAGACCCAACGAAGCAGTTATTATAAGAAACATCAGCTTTTGCAGTAATGTCTATCTTTTTCATGATTTTGAGAACTTTATTCCCTGGAGGTACATTAACAGACACGTTCTCTTGCTCTTTGTCAAATGGGAAGAGGAACTCAAGAGCATCCATATCAGCATATCTAAAATTTTCTTTGTAAGTAGTTCAGTTAGGTGAATCGTTTGTATAGTAATGAGCAAGATATCCAGCAAGTTTCATTCCATTGTAGTACTTAATTTGGATCTCTGGTTCTTCTTTGCTTCATCTGTATTGGCTTTCTTTTAATATCATGTAACATGTGATGATGTCTTCAAGGAAATCAGGAAAGTCACTGTTGTTAACTGTTTTTGCTTGAACCACGCTGGAAGATAAAAGTGTTAAGGCTAAGTCAGTGGCTACATTGTCTACTTCTACAAAGAGATAATAAATTCCTTTATAGAACTTCTCAGGGGCTTCTAAATAACAAACTCTCTCTTCTGAATAATATTTTCCGTCAACAAAATAATAATTTTCTGGAACACTATCATTAGTAGTAATATCTTTGTTTATGATGAAGCGAACAGGTGAAGAAGCTTGTCCAAAAGGTAGCGTTATTTTAAAGGCAATCTCAGTTGCTTCTAGGACATTCATTTTTACAATAGTGTAAGAGTTCAGAGGTTGAGAGATAGGCAAGTGGGATGTTATTTCAAGCTCTGGAGTATAGAGTCCAATGTAGGTAAAAGCGAAAAATTCCAAAAATTCTTCTAGTGAAACGTAGAATTCACCAGCTTCTTTACAATTAAAATTTGTAAGCTCCTTAAGACTATCAGTCCAATCATCACTTGATGTTTTCCATTTACCTTTCCAAGAGTCTTTATTTGTATGACTATCAAGCAGAATAAGCCTCACTGGAGAATCTCCTTTTGTTTCTTCAAATGTACCCTTAACAGTATAAGTCTTGTTCTTGAAGATACCTTTGGATTCTCATTTTGAAGAATCAATACTTTCAGTGGTCACCCAGTATCCATTGCTGTAGCCTACTTTCACATTTGACCATAAGAAGTTTTCTCTTTCTTTTGGTACATTATGAGATAGACTCTTGACTGCATAAGGAGTAGCAAAGCTAAAGAATTCATAAGAATTCATTGATAGAGCCTTTTCGTAGCTTCCTCATACCTTTGCCCATGCTTTCTCAAGGAGAAGTGCCCAAACACATTTAGTGCTTGTATGGATAAATGCTGGCTGGCTAGATCCTTCCATATAAGGAATGTAGTCATCAATAGTGACAATCTTAGGAGACCCATCTACGAATATCTTGAGATTGTAGATGCCAGCTTGGTTGATATCTTTAGTCATAAATAACTTTTTAATTGCCATCCCAGAATCTTGGGCAATTCTGTACATAGATGCAAGAATGGAGCTTTGGTGAAAGATTCCTCCTCTAATATCATTTGTTGTAATTTCTTCTTTATAAAGCTCAGCTTCTGGGTAAATTTCAGAGATCCTTTTCCATTCTATTTGCTCTTGCCATATTTTATTTTGAATCACCAACAACAGATCCTTTGAACTCTTCTGGGTGAACTAGAGAGGAGAATTCTGGTGGGAATTCGTCGTCAGTAAAGGGTTCACCCTTCAGTATGATCTTTTCATACTCTACTCTCTTAAGGCCTTTATAAATAGGAATGTTTTGCTCAAATTGATCAAGCCGCTCCATTGCAAGATATTTCCAATTAAATATATTGCAAAAGGGGTTTTGGGGTTTTGGGGTTTTGGGGTTTTGGGG